GTCAAAAATATTTCGAAGCAGAATAAAATTATTTGGACAAAAAAAATATATTTTAAATGTTGGTATGCAAATTGTTTTGCTGTCAACGGAACGTTTAAAAATGCCATAATCATAGAATACTGAAAACTGCTAACGAATTGTTTGGTTGGAGCCCAAGCTTTATTGCATTTTTAATATCCTATATCGTAACAACTACCATTATTGTTTTTGCTTGTGTTTTAAACGCAAAGCTGAACAACGGCTGCCTGCGTTGTCCCACCACGGGAATTGAACGCCGCATTTTAGCGTTATTAGTCCACTAGCTTATTACCGAATAATCGGAGAGATGACTGTAAATTAAATATCGAATAACAGATTACGTTGTATATATCTTCATTGTAGTGGTTTATTGATCTGAGCCCTTGTAATGCTTTTCTAAAAGGAAGCATTATATAATCCACTATACGTCAGAGTAAAAGAAAAATGTTTTGAAATGGCAGTGAAATAGAAAAAACTACCTGCGTTAAAATAGTATTAAGAAAATGAAAGTGTATTTGGTTCTTTGTGGAGAAATCTCAATGGTACGTCTATCTGGAGGTTAAATCAGTTTATTTTGAGACATCACTAGCTTCTTGAATATTATCCTCTTTCAACCACAATATAATATAGGTAACATATATTTGTGAAACTCTGAATAAACAAAATTACTTTTGTCCTTTTTCTTAATCCACTATATCCGCTTTTTTACTATACCCTCACTATTTCCCATTTTATTGGAAAATTTCTGTTACTTTTTGGAAAGTTGTGCACGTGGACACTACGTGACTCACTTAGAAGACCGGAATACTTTGTTATCGCTGAATGGCAACAAAACGGCTCATGATGCTGCTGAGGATCCATTTCTCACCCGAACGAGAACCTTTCTGACATGAATGGCTATACAGCTTCAATGTTTTTCTTTATCTCAACAATATTCTTGAAAACCCCAAATACTGTGTGTGTGTGTGGATATTGTGTTATTAATTAATAAACGAAAAAAACTATTATTACGAAACCTTTTCCTAAACGTAAAACCTTATAACTTCATCAGCGGTACGTTGAGTTGTTAAAAAATATATTCTTACAGTTTAAGCTAATGTTTACCCATTCAGCTTAAACTCGCCTGGTTGTGTCCAGTTCGACTCCAACAACCCGTGGAAAAAATTAATTAAATTACCACACACACACACACAAATATGGAGCCCAAAATGGGGCCATCCACGGTCCTGAGTTAACATCCGAGGACGGACCTCGTTTGTAAGAGGAAAAGAAGACAATTCAATCTACCTCAGATGACAATAAAAGTTTCGTTCAGAAAAAATCAGATCATGATAGTTTCGATAAATTGTATAAGAGTTTATGTGCGAAAGTGTCTTTTTTTTTACTTTTCCTTCCTACTTTTTAAAGTTTTAGTACTCATGTATACAGAGATTTAAGTACGTTACACAAAAACAATTCTGAAAGTGAAAAATCAGCAAGTCACGTGACAGCCACAGCCAATATAAAGGCGTGACGGAACGTTATATATCAGAAATACATTTTCATATCACTTAGCTTTTATATTGGTGGTGTAAATCCACTGAAAATTGATAGCTTTCGGTAAGAATATGTAACAATCCTTCCAAATGCAAAATATTCATACAGGTAGATCATAAAGATGTGTTTATATCGGGGATTTAGAATTTACAAGACGGGGGTATACTCTGCATTTAATGATATTGAAAAACAAGGGAATGGGTATTAGAAAGAAACTTGCAACGAGTCGTATCCTAGCCATGATAAGTAAAGAAAGGCGTGTTTTGACAGGTAAGAATCATCATCGCAACGGACAAAAGCCGTCCACGTGCACCAGGCAACAATATGCAACATACTGTAGGGGGTAAGTTTTATACCTAGATGTTTTATACAGATACATAATCAGGTTTGTTTTTTTCATTGGATCTATTTTTACGTTCTGAAGCAAAAATATCATAAAGTTGTTGTTGTTTGTTATTAAGCACAAAGCTACACAAAGGGCTAGCTGTGCTCTGCCCACCACGGGTATCGAAACCAGGTTTCTAGCGTTGTAAATTTGCAGACGTACCACTGTACCACTGGGAGGCTGATATCATAAAAGTCTCTTTCACACATGTAAAAAAATTATTTATTCTTTTCAGCAAAGCTTTCCTTCTGAGGAAAAAAATATGGAAATCCCAATTTCAATTGTAAAACTAATTTACTACTAATGTAGTTAAGAAAATTTTGTCTTCTTTAGAAAACATTTCAGAACTTTGAAATAACATATATTCAAAATACCTATTTTTATACTCCTGTACTTTCCTATACCATTTTAAGATTATGAACTAAATTTAAGTGTCCAGTTTTCTTTCTTTTTCTTTATCAAGCAACAAATTTGGTCAATTTCCTTTTACAAAATCCGTTAACAAAGACTGTGGGTCCCGTAACAACTTTCTTTGTTCATTGCTTGAGCAATTACTATTTTTACTTGTGCATAATGCAATTTGATATTATTTACACCTAAAATGGGTTAACTTAAATCAAATATATATATATATATATTTGGTGAGAAAACAATAAATTAAGAGACGAGAACTAGGTTAGCTGCTACATTAAATGTTTATTCAGTGGAACATGAGCTAGAGCCTTGTATCTAAATACATTTGTCATTTGATTCAATACCGAAAACTAATAATCTAATATTTCTGTTTAATATACTGTTCAGAAACAGTTAATTAAATAAAGAATTCTTAGAGACAAATTTACAAAAAGCTACGTACTGTCAGCTATACTTTAACATCAAGAACTGACCACTCAAGATAGGAAGAGGAACTTAATACTTTTTTTTTTTTACTGCAGAAGTTAGCAGAAATCGTGGCATATAGCACTTAATGCATAAGATATATTAGCGATAGAATAACGGTTAACTACATTTTCTGATCGAAAGGAAATAGCTATCATTATTTAGTTTCCTAACTAAAAGTGGAACTAGCTGAGATCATGACATTGATCGAAACTTAACTGTTGAGCTGCTTATAACGTAGACCTCGCAATCTAATAACATCCAGTGTGTTAGAGGAAGAAATAACAAGACATTTACACAGCTTGCAATGAATATTTTCCAGTTGGAAAATGATTTTACATGGAAGCTTATGGACAATCTTCGTTTCTCCTAAGATCGTATTTATTGTATTTTAATGGCTTATCTTCAATTATTGGCATGATACAACCCCAAATATAACCTTCCACTTAGCTGGTAAAAAAATGAGTTTTTTTGTTTGTACTAAATACTTATGTGTTAATTTTTGTGCTGTTCCGAAATAATTAAAAGGTTGTATCTTTCCGAATTTTCGTTCCATATATATATATATATATATAGATATAGATTAGAGAGAAGGCAGATAGTTAACAACACCCACTGCCGACTACTCTTGTCTAACAGAATAAAGAAGTTTCACCGTCACTCTTATATTGTAGCCACGGGTTCAAAGAGCATTATCCTTTGGAACTATAATCCCAGCAGGCTAGCCACAAGGCCACGGCAGGCCGTTTTTTTTTCTTTCTGTTCAATACCTCTATTTATAATAGATTTGGAAGAAATAATGTAGATTAGCACTGTAAAGCCCACCGGTGGATCAGCAGTAAGTCTTGGAGGCTCCTAACATTAAAATTCTGGATTCAATACCAACTGTTGGCGTAGCACGGATAGCCTGTGGTAAAGATTTGTACTTAACAACAAATAAACAAATTCAATGTAAAATTATTGTTTTATAGCTGTTGAACATTTCAGTGAAAACGAACTGTATAGTAGAATGTTATACGGTAAAATTAACATGTCTCGGTAGGGGTTATAATAAACTCCAATTCCAGTATTAGAATCACTGTTATTTATTGTTCCTTTGCCCATTTTGTGTTTTTGTCTCATATATTTAAGACAGGTCAAAACTTAATACCTTTTCTTAGATTAAGTTTCAACATCTACTTATGTTAAAATTGATTCCTTTGGTTAAAAATTAACATGTCCCTCTTTGGTGGCCCGGCATGGCCAGGTGGATAAGGCGCTCGACTCACAATCTGAGGGTCGCGGGTTCGAATCCGTATCCCACCAACATGCTCGCCCTTTCAGCCGTGGGGGCTTA